ATCCAAAGACCGAGAGACAAAGCAGCAACTAGTTTCATTCTGGAGCCAAGACCTCTGTAGTCCATTCCACCATAGTTTCACATATGGCTAACCAGCAACCCCAACTGTACAGTGTGGGGAGGGGGTGCGGGGCGACAGAGCTGCTTGATTTTCACGAGAGAGCCAAAGTGTGACTGTGGCCATTTGCCTTGCAGAGGAGTCTAAGAAAATCAGCACAAGTTATGCCACTTGCCAGTAAGGATTTCCAGCTTTAACCAATACACATGCTCCAGGCTGGCAGATAGGAGCTGAGAAGGACACAGCTTCGTACCCAGCCACTGGCTGAACTTGGTGGCAGGCTATTTAAAAAAAAAAAAAAAAAGGCACAAATTATACATGGAAGGATGTGGGGGAGTGGGGAGAGGAAAATGCAATGAGCTAATGTTCCTACTTGGCATCTGCCTTTTGACTCAAAGAAAGAGATGGCTCTTTTCCAGAATTTTTCTATTATTGTGGTATCAGCTGCCTCTTGGACTTGCTTATAAAAGCAGAGACTGCCAACAGAACAAGACAAGATTTCTGATGATAATAGTAAACGTGCATGTTCCTTGAAATAATAGGGATTTCGAGATTTCTCCTACAAAGGCTACTTTGGTATTACTATTTCCGGCATGAGCTTCTGGACCTGTACGGCCAGGTACTGGTGGGGACCATGAAAACAGCAAATTCTGAACTTAAAAAGGTGCTACCTTGATTCTTTAATTTACTCCTCCAATATATTTAACTAAAGAACAGTTTGAAACTAATTGGCTCTGGATGTTTCTTGCTGGACTGGCATTCTACCAAATGAATTTCTATTAGTTGGCCCTCTCAAGTCTCAGTGTTACTCTATTACACTAACTTCTTACTCTGAAAACTAGAAATCAAAGAGAAAAAATTAAGCATTTATCCAGGCGTTTAAAAAAGGACTATAGATTCTACCTACTTCATAAGGGAAAGATCTTTACTTAAAACAAAAAAAAGGTAGTAAATAAATGTACTAAGAATGACAGATTCAAACCCCAATGAAGAATAAGGAATGTTTCCAGCTTCCCTTTGGGGTGTAGAAAGCTAGGAAGAGCATCACTCCTATCTTATAATAAACATAAATGTGAGACAATCTGCAAATTAGTGACTTTTTCTCAACCCATCATGAGTTGAAGCAGTCAGACAACTAACTAAACAGAGGTCTAAAGAGGTATGGGAGCACTTGCTCACCTAGGTCACACTCCACTGAACACTAATAAAAAGAAGAAAAAATATGTAATAATCTCAACATATAGAATTTTTTTAAAAAACTACTATTTACAATAGCACACCTCCCCCTCCAAAAAACATACTTAGGTATAAATCTAAGATAATACACGGAGGACCTGTACGTTCAAAACATTTAGTGGTATGAAAATCTGATTACAAAATAACACTGAATGAAAGCAAGTAAGGTACAGAATAGTATGTATATATGGTCAGAATTTTATAAAATAAAACTCAAACCAAGTATTTTTTCCATAGGGAAAAAAAGGCTAAAAAATATTAAGGTCTTTAAACAATGTCTCTTTGGTTTCTTGTTCTTAATAAGGCAATCACAAAGTGTTTTAAAGAAAATAAAACTGAAATTAATATAAACAATTTGTAAAGCTAATTTCTTTGCTGCCACCTGTTACTATATAATACACTTCACGACGTCTCCTTAGGTCAGTTTTCTTAGAACTAGTTCCATATGCTCTTAGAAAACATTAATTTAATAAATTGGTTTCCTAATTGCAGAACTAATTAGAATCGTTAGTATACCAGTGATATTCTGGATCTTTAACGGGGTATAGTTTGCTATATGTTCACAGTTTTACGGCGTTTTCCATATTTATTTGAATACAGTACTTGTGCATAGGCTGGTGAGAGAGATAGGACAGGGTTGCCTTGGCTGACCTTCCAAAGTAGGTTGCAGACATCACATTATTTTGCTTCTAAATACTTCAGTGTGTATCTCCCAAGAATAAGGGACATTCCGCTACTTATCCGCAACACCATTATCACATCCAAGAAAGTCCGATTACTTCCCTAAAAACTTCTAATATCTACCCAAATACAAAATTCCCGTTTTATAAAAAAATGTTTTTATAGTCAGTTTTTCAAGGTTTTCATGTTATGTTTGGTTGTTATGTCCTTTTAATAAAAACCACACCCGGTTTTTTTCTTTTTGACATGGATTTTTTTTTTCCCCTCCAGGAGACCAGTCTCATTGAATTGCAGAAATCCCATGTTTTGTCTGATTATTTCTCCATGGTGTTACTCAGCTTGTTCCTCTATCCCATGTGTTTCCAGTATGTTGACGCTTACACTGGAAGACTCAGAGTCAGGTTAAACACTTATAGCAAGAACCTGAAGCTATGTTCCTCAGACTGCATCGTATCAGGAGACATGCAACAGGCCAGCTCACTGATAATACCGCTGAGCTTGATCACGGCATTTAGGTGGCGACCTGCCAAATCTCTCCCTTGCAAAGGGACATCTTTCCCTTTGTTATTAGCACTTCCACCATGAGGTGATACATTATCACTGTCCTGTCTTTCAATAACCTTCTAAGTGATGGTTTTTGTAGTCCTTGATGGTCTTTGCAGGACTACCAGTTATTTCATTGGGTTCCTTATTAATTCTTATTTACCTCTTTAAAATTTCTTGATAGGAAAATTCGGGTCTTTGTGATATACAGGTAGGTGAGTTCTGACAAACACAGAGTTTCGTATCCACCACAATAATCAAGATACAGAATAGTTACATCACCTCAAAAAATTCCCTCCCACTGTCCCTTTGGGGTCCTAAATGAAGCTTGGTACAAAGTCCATGCTCAGTAGATTTACTCCAACCTTACTTGTCCCATAATATTCCCTGTCTCGCCTAGTAGTGATTAAACTGCTGTGTGCATAGGAATAAAACCACGAAAATTTATTTTAGTACAGGCTCTGGGGCCCTACCCCCCAAATTTAGGAAGGCTAAGGCAGGCTGCTTGCGATCATGATACTATTAAACCACTGAGAATATGCGATACAGTGACTACGAGCATGGCCCTAATTCTCTACTTTTCTTTCTATCCATACTCTTTGCAGCTCCTGCCATGAGGAGGCGGAGTGTGTTTCTGAATCCCATGGGTCTGGGCGGTCACTTGTTTCAGCAACAAAATCCAGTGGCATCGGCATGGCAGCAGCACAAGGCTTGCTTGTTTCTACTCTCCTGGAACCCTTGGCCTGAGGCCTGGCAGATGAGCCTGGGCCAGCCTGCTGGGCGAGGTGGGGTGTGTGGCCTCACCTCCACCATCACCTCCAATGGCAGTCAGTGAGGCAAGTCAATGGGGTCATTCCAGAGCAGCCAGCTCCACGCGACCCCCTGCAGACCCCTTAGCACACGGGCCAGGCCAAGATCCTGTAAGCTTGGCCAGCGGACCCATATGCTCAAGAGCAAGAAGAAATGTTTATTGGTTTCAGCCATGTCAGGGTGATTCGTTACGTAGTAATAGATGACTTACACACCACAATTCTGATACTCTTTACCCAAGGAATACTGACTTATCTCTTCCTCTCCATTCCCCACCACGCCCCTGCCCCCTTCCTCATTTGGGCTTTTATTCCTTGTTCAGACTGCTGTTGTCATTCTACCTCCAGGACGCTGCTGCTCTGGACTGTGTTCTCTAAAGTCAGAGGCCAGGTTGCCATAATGTATGCATTCCTACCATCTAGCATAATGCCCGGTGCCCCCCACAGGTGCTCAGTCCTTGTCTGTGGAATCACTGTTGCCAGATTCATAAAGCACAGCTCTGGTCACATCACTCCCGATGCAGGACCCTACCAGCACTTACAGGACATACCAGGTCCATTTTCCACCTGGCTTACTTGATTCTAGGACCTCTGTGATCAGGCCGAAGCCTCGCTCCCCACTCTTCTTCCCCTTCTTCTCTTAAGGCTCTGTTCCAAAGTGAGGGCTGGCTGACCACATCCTTACTTCCTGTCTGTGTGATACTGACTCTCCCCACATCTCTGTAAATGTGACACATTCTTGAAGGTCCGAGTCTTCTGTGAGAGTCTGGTAGGTCTAGTGAAGGAAGAGCTCACCCCTTCTCCCTGGATCTAGCAATTAGCCTGGGCCTCCCGTAGCTGAGCGCTCTCACCTGAGCACCTGATACTATGCTTACCTGTCTACTGTCCATGCATCTAGATGTCCATGCATCTAGCAGGCAACTCCTCTACCTGAGATTGTGAACTTTTTGAGGGAGAGTACATCTTTTACCTGTCTGTATTCCCTATGGTACCTAACGCAGACCGCAAAACATAGTAAGACCTTCATAAATGCTTACTGAATGAATGGATGGTTTTTTTGTCACTACTAAAACAAGAATAACAGTAGTAAGTCAACCCCACGCCAAAGATGGCACGATAAATACAGTGGTTTTCATATATCAGTCTATAAAAGAATCTTCTGGAAGGCCTGTTGAAGATACAAATTCCTAGGCTCTGCCCCCAAAGAGATCGGTTCAGTAGGTCTGGAGTAGAACCCTAAGTTTCAATTCCTACCAAGCTGTCCATGTGACTTTGGGGAAGGTTTGCGGGCAACACTTTGATATACACAGTAGACATACAGCCTGCTTTGTAGATACGAAGTCCAAAGTAAACTCCTTTTTTCACACACCTAAGATTTTTTTTTTTTTTTTTTAAGTTTCTTAACTTTAATGCCAAGGCACTGAGGAGCGCAGCAGGCCTAAAAAAGAACAACTTTAACAATACATACATAGTCTGGCACCTTATTAGCTTAGGTTGCTGGGAATATGGCATCACACCCCATTCTTCGTAATCACAATCTGCACACATTTTTTTCCATCTACATATCCTTTTTATAAACTATTTAAAGTTTAATTTGCTACAAAGAGTCCTTCTTCAGACCATCTCACCATGTGAGGTATGCTTTAAAATAAGTGAAGGGCGCACAATTCCTACCTCGGTCCCAGAGGCTGGCTCTTAATGCTCTCTCTAGCTGTTCCTCCTCACTCAGTCCTGCTGTGTATGCATCATAGTTCCTGGGTATGTCTTCAGAGTAACCTGGCTGGCCATATGGGTAATAATCCTGATACCTGGAGTAGCCTACAGGCACAAGGGAAAGGTTATAGAGCACGGCTGTGTACTGTTCTTGCCATTCTTCCCATTTGTAAGCAGACACAATAAAATAATCTGTCATCATTCTGAGTATAGTAATAATCAAAATAAGAAAAGATGACAAATGGAGAATTCCTCCATGACCGTGGGCAATGACAGTCTTATCACTGTTGCACCAACAGTGCCCAGCGTGGGACTGGACATGTGTGAGTCCTTGTGAGCTGAAGAGGAAGAAGATACTAATTTAGAAGGTCTGAGGGGTACTGGAGAGGGGCTGGTATGAGCTATTTTCATCTGGAGTGGATTCTTGCAGTTTAGAGCTATACACTACTTGGAGTATTTTCTGTAAAGTCCTGACTAGGGTCAAGGGAATGGTTGAAATAATAGTTGATCAAGCATTTCTGTCTGGTGGCTCCATACAATGAGAGGCAGACTAACATTTAATGCAGATACTGCAGGATTTCTGTGCTGGGTGTGATACTTTGGACAGTAATAACTACATTGAGATATACAAGGCGATGTCTCTATAATTATAATTTTATGTCAAAGAACACAGTTTCTATTAATAGCATTTTCAAGAAATTGGTTGCTAGATAAAATGAGAGAAGAAACAACCTGCTCACTAAATAATGTTTTAAGTATCAGACTTACATATCCCATTAATGAAGGTCAATTACAGAGCAGAGTTCACTTTTGCAAGGTGTTTCCATCAATCTTTTCAAGTTGGTTTGAGTTTACTCCTTACATCTTCTTTAACTGCCCACTTTTATGTAGTTTGTTTGGAAGAGAATCTTTTCCCCCAAAAGATTACCAGTCTAATTCTGGTGTAATGAGAGAGAAGAGTCTGTTTAGCTTTATTCCTTCTTTTCTTCCATTATCATACCCTTTGGGGATGAGTTTTCAAATAGTTAATTAATGTGCTTTTTGTTGTTGATGAACATTCCTACCCTTTGAGTCATGTGTCATAGGTCTCCATATCATCAACAGAGTACACACCTGAGTCTAAATTTCTTATTGCTTTAAGACTAAAGGAAAAACACACACACACACAAATAACAAGACCAAAAAGAGGAACAGTATACAGCAGAATCTGGTTAATTAAGATTTAATATTCAGAATATTTGATAATTAGTCCTGAGGCTATTTTATTTTTTTTTAAGATTATTTATTTATTTATTTATTTGACAGAGAGA